AAATTCCTCGTACCCCCCTGTGGCCCCCCCCCCCCCAGCACCAACCCCCTGCCCCGCCCCACCCACCCCGAACACAGTCCTGACCCAGCCCTGCCGTCGGGAAGAGACCAACGCAGCCCCTGGTCCTGAGCCTACAGCAGGCAGCCTGCCCTTGCTCTGTGTACAAATCGGGGTGGGTCACGTGCCCCCACATGCCTCCCCTGGAGATGCGTGCAGAGGTGGGAAGCCACCCCCCTCCCTACCCCACTGTGCCCCCTGGACGAGCCACCTGCAGTTCAGTCCCACTCCCAGTGGGGTTGCATTCAATGCCGTGGCTGGGCAGCACCTGCCCCAGCCCCACTCCCTCCGTCACCATGGGGGCCTTGATCTGCCCCCCCCCCCAATTTAACAGCCAGATGCTGTTCTCCGAGCTGCCTGGCTGCATATAAGCTATCGGATCATTATCAGCTGATATGGCTGGTTAATAATCAGCCATCAGTATTGGCCAAATTTTTTTTTATTGATGCACCCATATCTCTAACCTCAATTTCTTTTGCTGCAGTTTGAAGCTGTTGCTTGAGGGTATATTAATAAGCTTTTACAGAAGCACAATGTTGCCTGCCATGGTCCTCCTGTTTTACCTGTGGCAGGTTAGGGTTTTATGTCTTGTGTTGTGTCAGGGTTGACTGTAGTTTTTGCTAAGAGGTTAGATTATGGATTTGTAAAAGGAGGTTTAGATTGGGATCCTGCTTTAGGCAGGGGTTGGACTAGATGACCTATGGAGGGCCTTTTCAGCCCTACTTCTCTATGACTCTAAGGCTATGATTCTTAGGCCTGCTACAGACAGTACACTTTTACTGGTATAAGTGATCAGAAACTAGTCTATACCTGTAACAGAACAGAGTTTCAGCACACATAGACTGGTTTAAAAATGGCAGAATCAGTTTAAGATTCCACCACTACCACAAAAGGGCAAATGTGTATTCTGTTCACTACCAGCCTAAACTACGCCACTTGCAGAAAACTGAGACTGATTTTGCCTCGGGCTTTTTGAATATCTGTATGTAGCCTTAGTTCTGTCCTCTACAAGCACACAGAATAACTCATCTCCATCCTCTCTGTAATCACCCTACTTTCTTAACTGCAGTGACTACTAAAGAAAAGAGGTACAAATTAAATTTGGTCATTTTTCTCCCAAAGGTAGGGCATGCTCATACTCGCTTTAGGCCTCTTTCCCTTTAGGTTCAAAGTAAGGTATACAGATATAACAGGACGCTATGGGCATGAGGATCCAGCTCCTGGACTCCTGTAATAAAATGAGAATCTTTAAGCAAATCTTTATACAGATTATGTTTCTATCCTCTTAACATGTTAAAACTAAAAGAAAACAGAAGTTGTCAATAGGGAGTCATCATTTCTCTATTTCTAATGGGATACTGTAGGGCCTGGTACTAGACTAAATGGCATTCAGCTATTTTTTATCAATGATCTGGAAGTAAATATAAAATCACTGCTGATAAAATTTGAGGCTGACACAAAAATTGGTAGAGTGGATAACAAAGGATAATGATAGGCAGTCATACATAGTGATCTGAGTCTCGGCCCATTGAAACAAAATGTGCTTTAATGCAGCCAAATGCAAAGTTCTTGCTCCAAGATGCATAAATGTAGGACAGGAGAGAAAGTGGGGCTGTAACTTGGAAAGCAATGATCCTAGAAAGGCTATAGGGATCACAGCGAACAAGAAACTCTATTAATACAGTGTCAGTTACGCTAATACTAGAATTTTATGTCAAGTTCTGGTGTCCACTTTTTTTAAAAGGAGGTTGAAAAATCGGCAGAGAGGGTGCAGAAAAGTATTTTAAAAAAGCCCAAAAGAGAAAATGCCTTAAAAATTATACTGACAGAGCACAATGCAGTGCCATGCGGATACACCCATTGTGAGAGATTTAAGGAGCTCAATTTGTTTATCAAAATGAAACTGAGGTAACATGATCACCATATACAAATACTTTCACCATTCCTAACAGGCTGTTTAATTTAGCTGAGAAAGGCATAACAAAAAACAATGGCTGGAAGTAAAAGGCAGACTTATTTAAATGAGAAATTAAGTTCAATTTTATAACAGTGAGGGGGGATTAACCACTGGAACAAACTACCAAAAAGCACTGGTGGATTCTTGGTGTCTTCAGAGCAAGACTGGCTGCCTTTCTGGAAGTTATGCTTTAATTAAACACAAGTTATTGGGCTCAATAATGGTGTAACGGTGTGAGATTTAATGGCCTGCAATTTATAGATAATGATCTAATAGTGCCTTCTGGCCTTAAACACCCTGAATCTATAAAAATGTGAACCAAGCATAACTGATGCTTGCCTTAGTCTGTGGGCAGCCT